TCCGCCTGTGTGTTTCTCTCCGCCTGTGTTTCTCTCCGCCTGTGTGTTCTCTCCGTCGGTGTGTTTCTCTCTGCCTGTGTTTCTCTCCGCCTGTGTGTTTCTCTCCGTCGGTGTGTTCTCTCCGCCTGTGTGTTCTCTCTGCCTGTGTGTTTCTCTCTGCCTGTGTGTTCTCTCCGTCGGTGTGTTTCTCTCCGCCTGTGTGTTTCTCTGCCTGTGTTTCTCTCCGTCGGTGTGTTTCTCTCCGCCTGTGTGTTTCTCTCCGCCTGTGTGTTTCTCTCTGCCTGTGTTTCTCTCCGCCTGTGTGTTTCTCTCGTCGGTGTGTTTCTCTCCGCCTGTGTGTTTCTCTCTGCCTGTGTTTCTCTCCGCCTGTGTGTTTCTCTCCGTCGGTGTGTTTCTCTCCTTCGGTGTGTTTCTCTCCGCCTGTGTGTTTCTCTCCGCCTGTGTGTTCTCTCCGCCTGTGTGTTTCTCTCCTTCGGTGTGTTTCTCTCCGCCTGTGTTTCTCTCCGCCTGTGTGTTTCTCTCCGCCTGTGTTTCTCTCCGCCTGTGTGTTTCTCTCCGCCTGTGTGTTTCTCTCCGCCTGGTGTTTCTCTCTGCCTGTGTGTTTCTCTCGCCTGTGTGTTTCTCTCCTTCGGTGTGTTTCTCTCTGCCTGTGTTTCTCTCCGCCTGTGTTTTTCTCCGCCTGTGTGTTTCTCTCTGCCTGTGTGTTTCTCTCCTTCGGTGTTTCTCTCCGCCTGTGTGTTCTCTCCGCCTGTGTGTTTCTCTCCGCCTGTGTGTTTCTCTCTGCCTGGTGTTTCTCTCCGCCTGTGTGTTCTCTCCTTCGGTGTGTTTCTCTCCGCCTGTGTGTTTCTCTCTGCCTGTGTGTTTCTCTCGCCTGTGTGTTTCTCTCCGCCTGTGTGTTTCTCTCCTTCGGTGTGTTCTCTCCGCCTGTGTGTTTCTCTCCGTCTGTGTGTTCTCTCGCCTGTGTGTTTCTCTCCGCCTGTGTGTTTCTCTCCGTCTGTGTGTTTCTCTCCGCCTGTGTTTCTCTCCGCCTGTGTGTTTCTCTCCGCCTGTGTGTTTCTCTCCGTCTGTGTGTTTCTCTCCGTCTGTGTGTTTCTCTCCGCCTGTGTGTTTCTCTCCGCCTGGTGTTTCTCTCCGCCTGTGTGTTTCTCTCCGTCTGTGTGTTTCTCTCTGCCTGTGTGTTCTCTCCGCCTGTGTGTTTCTCTCCGTCTGTGTGTTTCTCTCCGCCTGTGGTTTCTCTCCGCCTGTGTGTTTCTCTCCGCCTGTGTGTTTCTCTCCGTCGGTGTGTTTCTCCGCCTGTGTGTTTCTCTCTGCCTGTGTGTTTCTCTCTGCCTGTGTGTTTCTCTCCGTCGGTGTGTTTCTCTCTGCCTGTGGTTTCTCTCTGCCTGTGTGTTTCTCTGCTGTGTGTTTCTCTCCGTCGGTGTGTTCTCTCCTTCGGTGTGTTTCTCTCCGCCTGTGTGTTCTCTCCGCCTGTGTGTTTCTCTCCGCCTGTGTGTTTCTCTCCGTCGGTGTGTTTCTCTCCGCCTGTGTTTCTCTCCGTCGGTGTGTTTCTCTCTCCTTCGGTGTGTTTCTCCGCTGTGTGTTTCTCTCCGCCTGTGTGTTTCTCTCGCCTGTGTGTTTCTCTCCGCCTGTGTGTTTCTCTCCGCCTGTGTGTTTCTCTCCGTCGTGTGTTTCTCTCCGTCGGTGTGTTTCTCTCCGCCTGTGTGTTTCTCTCCGCCTGTGTGTTTCTCTCCGTCTGTGTGTTTCTTCCGTCTGTGTGTTTCTCTGCCTGTGTGTTTCTCTCTGCCTGTGTTTCTCTCCGCCTGTGTTTCTCTCCGCCTGTGTGTTTCTTCCGCCTGTGTTTCTCTCCGCCTGTGTGTTTCTCTCCGCCTGTGTTTCTCTCCGCCTGTGTGTTTCTCTCCGCCTGTGTGTTCTCTCCGTCTGTGTGTTTCTCTCCGCCTGTGTTTCTCTCCGCCTGTGTGTTCTCTCCGCCTGTGTGTTTCTCTCCGCCTGTGTGTTTCTCTCCGCCTGTGTTTCTCTCTGCCTGTGTGTTTCTCTCCGCCTGTGTGTTTCTCTCCGTCTGTGTGTTTCTCTCCGCCTGTGTGTTTCTCTCCGCCTGTGTGTTCTCTCCGTCTGTGTGTTTCTCTCCGCCTGTGTTTCTCTCCGTCTATGTGTTTCTCTCCGTCTGTGTGTTTCTCTCCGCCTGTGTGTTCTCTCCGCCTGTGTGTTTCTCTCCGCCTGTGTGTTCTCTCCGTCTGTGTGTTTCTCTCTGCCTGTGTGTTTCTCTCCGCCTGTGTGTTTCTCTCCGTCTGTGTGTTTCTCTCCGCCTGTGTGTTCTCTCCGCCTGTGTGTTTCTCTCCGCCTGTGTGTTTCTCTCCGTCGGTGTGTTTCTCTCCGCCTGTGTTTCTCTCTGCCTGTGTGTTTCTCTCTGCCTGTGTGTTTCTCTCCGTCGGTGTGTTCTCTCTGCCTGTGTGTTTCTCTCTGCCTGTGTGTTTCTCTCTGCCTGTGTGTTTCTCTCCGTCGGTGTGTTTCTCTCCTTCGGTGTGTTTCTCTCCGCCTGTGTGTTCTCTCCGCCTGTGTGTTTCTCTCCTGTGTGTTTCTCTCCGTCGGTGTGTTTCTCTCCGCCTGTGTGTTTTCTCCGTCGGTGTGTTTCTCTCCTTCGGTGTGTTTCTCTCCGCCTGTGTGTTTCTCTCCGCCTGTGTGTTCTCTCCGCCTGTGTGTTCTCTCCGCCTGTGTGTTTCTCTCCGCCTGTGTGTTTCTCTCCGTCGGTGTGTTTCTCTCGTCGGTGTGTTCTTTCTCCGCCTGTGTGTTTCTCTCCGCCTGTGTGTTTCTCTCCGTCTGTTGTTTCTCTCCGTCTGTGTGTTTCTCTCCGCCTGTGTGTTTCTCTCTGCCTGTGTGTTTCTCTCCGCCTGTGTTTCTCTCCGTCGTGTGTTTCTCTCGCCTGTGTTTCTCTCCGCCTGTGTGTTTCTCTCCGCCTGTGTTTCTCTCCGCCTGTGTGTTTCTCTCCGCCTGTGTGTTTCTCTCCGTCTGTGTGTTTCTCTCGCCTGTGTTTCTCTCCGCCTGTGTGTTTCTCTCCGCCTGTGTGTTTCTCTCCGCCTGTGTGTTTCTCTCCGCCTGTGTTTCTCTCTGCCTGTGTTTCTCTCCGCCTGTGTGTTTCTCTCCGTCTGTGTGTTTCTCTCCGCCTGTGTGTTTCTCTCCGCCTGTGTGTTTCTCTCCGTCTGTGTGTTTCTCTCCGCCTGTGTTCTCTCCGTCGGTGTGTTTCTCTCCGTCTGTGTGTTTCTCTCCGCCTGTGTGTTTCTCTCCGTCGGTGTGTTTCTCTCCGCCTGTGTGTTTCTCTCCGTCTGTGTGTTTCTCTCCGTCGGTGTGTTTCTCCGCCTGTGTGTTTCTCTCCGTCTGTGTGTTTCTCTCCGCCTGTGTGTTTCTCTCCGCCTGTGTGTTTCTCTCCGTCTGTGTGTTTCTCTCGCCTGTGTTTCTCTCCGCCTGTGTGTTTCTCTCCGCCTGTGTGTCACAATAACCAGCTTGCCGTGCTGCTGCCTCTCGTCTACACCAAGGCTCAAGCGCTCAAGAAACTCACAGGGCGAGCAGGGCAGGTGTAGGGTTACCTTTAATCAAACAAAGACAAAGATCCCCCTGTTGGGGCAAGTGCTGTTAGCAAGTAGCCTATGAAGGTCGGTACAGTACACGAGGGGGTGGGTGGCTAGAACCACGCCCGGCCGCCTTTGTCGCCCTAGTGATGATGACACATCACACGGGTACTCATTTAAGGCTGAGTAGACCCAGGAGAGGCCCGGGACTGGTCCAGAAAATCGTCGCTGGTGTTGACCGTGAGCAGGAATCAAACGCTGGTCGCCGGGTTTGTAACTCAGCATGCTAACCACTGTGCCACCGTTCCCCACAATAAACAGACACAAAAACAGAGACACACGCGCTACTCAACACGCACATAACCCTGAACATGCCTTCCTTTTACATTCGATCTTGAGACTTGGTGCTCCTAGCTCACACCTGTAAGCACCAATGGTTTCAGTTTCTGTTTTAGCTGCACCGAGAGCACGGCGTGACGATAGTCGTCCAGCGGCAAGAGCAATCCGAGAACATCCACCAAGGGGGGGAGATCTGCCAGGTGGATTACTCGATGGCCGGATCATGAGAGGTGGTGGTGGCTTGGAGAGGTCTTCATCTCGCAGTGGATTGGTCATGGTTGATGATGATGATGAGTAAATGAAGGCATTGCGTATAACTACGTCGTGAAGGACATGCAATACAGGGAGACGCTGGGGTCCATTGCCGCCGAGTTAGCTTCACGTCCCTATGTAGCTGTGTCCCACTCACCCCTGCCAGCAATGTAATGCTCCTCCACCCGAGTGTGATGGAGCGTTCCACTCAGAGCAGACGGGGCGTGGTGGGGGGAGAATATAAATAGCACCAGTCGTAGCAATTCCCATTTAATCTACAGCACCGAAGTACATACAGCAGCCAACAGCAGCAGGCAAATGGCGCTCACCGATTGGCCACCTGAGGGAACGCCGAACTTCGAGTCGATTCCCTGTCACAATCGCAGCCGCAGCACCGAGCGGGATTCCGCCGAGGCGACCAAATTTCCAGGAGACTCCATGGGGTACCGCGGTGAGCTGGGAGCCTCTCCCAGCACGAGACGACACCCGCCATTCGAGTCGCCAACAAATTCCCAATACGGGACCACAGAGGTCGGGCGCACGTAGGCGGCGCCGGTTCCGCGCTCCTTCCTGCATCTCCGTGGTGCCCCCCCCGCGCCGGAGTGTGAGACCCGCGCGCCGGAGTCACGAACGCAAATTAGACGTCACCGGTAACACCATTCCGTCATAACACTGCCCGCGGACACAATCCTGACCAGGGTGGGGTGGGGGGCATCGAGCCTCCGTCGGCTTGATAAGTAATGGACGAGCACGGACGTGAGATGCCCCCCCCCTGCACCCCCCCCAAAGGCCCCGGCTGGACCGGCGGGGCCCATCGTGGTGGCGCCCCCCTTCCTCCCACCGCACGGCCGCCTCGCCGCCGCCGCTCACACGTTCTTCAAGCAGACCTGGCAGCGGCTGATGCGTGACCGCTGCCCGAACGCGTCCTTGATGGTGCCGGGCCGCGGCGGCGCGAACTGGGAGGCGGCCGCTACGCGCGTCAGCCAGAAGCTTTGCTCGTCCGCAAAGTAGTGGCAGGTGCCACGCGGGCCCTGGCACTCGAGGAAGGCCGACGTGCGGAAGTCCTCAAGGCACGAGCCCGGAGACTCCAGCGGCTGCCCGCCACCTTCCGCCGACGCCATGTGCTGGGGGGATCACGGGGAGAGAGGGGGAGATGAGGAGATGAGGAGACGGGGAGAGGGAACCACTTTCTCAATCAGCCCGACGCGCGTTTTTTTATTGCTTTCCAGCTCTGACTATTATGATGATGATTTTACTTGTTCACCCAGGACAGTCTCGCTGTCCAAACTACCAGCTCCACTGTGTGTGTAGGTTTTGCTAAGGGAGGAAACCCATGCAGAGCAGGGGGAGAGAATACAAACTCCACACAGAAACTCAATGCATTCATCAATAAAACTGAGGTCCGAAAAGTATTAACTGACGTTTTGGGCTATGGCCCTTCTTCAAAGCACATGATCTGCACAGAAAGGCGCCCGTGTCAGGAATCGGACCTCAAACGCTTGCTGCTGGGAGGCATCTGGGTTCGAATGTGACTGCCGCGCCGGCCCCTGCCGCCGGACCGTCCCCAGTCGATTGCACGAACCACAAAAGAGCAGCACGCGATGTCTCGTCCTCCACTCGCTGTGGACGTTAAAGATCCGTGACGTGATTCGCAGAAGCCGGCCAGCCTGTGCCGGAGTCACGGGCTCCAAATTTGCCAAATTCGTGAATCACACCGCAAATGACTCAATTGGGATAAAAGACAAGGCAAATATCCCCCGTATAGCCGACTGTTAGGGCAAGGGCAAGTGCTGGTGAGTGGACAGCCTCGGTCTCCCTAATAGCAATATTTACAGAATGCACCAGGTACTCATGTTACGCTGAGTCGACCTAGGGGAGGCCCAGGACCAGTTCAGATAATCGTCACTGGTTATGGCCGTGAGAGGGAATCGAACTCGGGTTCGTAGCGCAGCGCGCTCACCACTACACCACCGCCCTTCAAGTTGGATCACACGCACACACAGCAGCGATCATCGCCCCCTACTGGCAGATTGATGCTCGCTCACTGCGGGACAGGCGCCGAGTCACCTCGTGCTGCACATGGACATCTGCCACTGGGGGTGCCCTTTCTAATTGGGGTGCAGTGGTGGCGACATGTTCACTACCTCGCCCGGAATACAGGAGGTCGTTGTTTGAATATATGGACGGACGTTGCATGTTGTCCACGTGGTCGCATGGCTTTTTCTCCGGGTCCTCCGGTTTTTCCCTCCACATTTAAAATCAACGTGCGTTTTGAATATTTGGCTGCTATACATTTCCACGTGATAAGCCATTTCATTGATCAATTATTTGTGGCCAGGCCACTTCTGAAAAAGAGCTATACAGCTCAGTGGGCCTCACCTGGTAAAATAAAAATAGTTAATAGTTTTTCATCGTAATGTAAATGATACGAGGCGCATCGTGAGGGGCGTGCAGCGACGATCTTATCCTCCCCGCGTCAAGACGGGGCGGCGGCCGCACCACCGTTTTGTTTACACCGGCGCGTCGCTCCGTCCGTAACGAAGTGGGGGTGGGGGGGATATACTCTCACCCTCGTTATGGCGACTTCGTGCGCACAACAAAATTCCACATAGCCAAGAGGGGCTCGCTGAGAGGAAAAAACCGGACGCGTCGATCAAAGTGTTCTCGCCCGAAACCTAGCTGAGAAAAACCGGCACTGAAAGGAGAGCGGTGTCGCCGATTGACGCAGCGGAGGAGGAATGCGGGCGCAGGTGGGCGAGCGTTGCAGAATCGTTACACATGCGCGTGTTTGGGGTATTTTGGGGGGGGGGTGCAGCGTGGGAGAGGCGGTGGGGAGCCATACCATGAGAAAGGAGTAGCCGATCCAGAGGCTTCGCCACCCTGGCGGGCACCGTGGAATTTCACTGTCTTGGCTGTGCACAGCGATCGCTTGTGTCGGCGCCTCGCACACCGAGCACCTGGGGGCACAGCGCGACCCGTGGTGACCCCCGACTCCATCTCTAACCCTCGCACTGCATCAGCTCCATCTCTTCTCCTGCCTGTGCCGTGCCCGTTTAGCCCCCTCTTCTCCGGCCAAACAGAAGCCACTTGGGCACGCGGTGTCTGGGCATGCGGGCTACGTGACCCAGACAACGAGGCCTCGCTTGCCGGAGGAGCTCACTGATGGGAATGTGTCCAGATCTTTCAAGGATCTGTGAGCTCCGCACGCAATCCAGGCTCGTTAAACCCGGATGGATCGTAGGCAGGCCAACCTGAATGTTTAAAACTGTGGGAGAGAAGACCTGGAGTTTTTTTTGCGTGGAGCATTAGACCAGGTAGCTTCAACACAGCATTACACAGCCGGTGAAAAGATAATGCCGCCAGAAATATTGAGAGAGACACCACCTCTGCCGAACCGGAGCCGGCCATGAGCTCACGGCCCAGGTGCAGCAACTCCTCAGGTGCCTTCTCTGCTTATCGTGAACTCGTCACACATACGTAACACAACAACCACTAAGCGTTGGTGACGTCACCATAGCGCTTGTGCCAGGCCAGGTGCACTTTGAAGCCACGTGAAGTGTTGAAGGCTCACTGCTCGCGGGAGGTCCCGGAACAGACCCAGGTGCCATGGGATGGACTGACTGAGTTGACTGGTAGATGCACCAACTCTGTTCCCCACTGTGCCAACTGTTTGCGCTTTAGCCACCCAGCGCTCCGCTCGGTGTTGTAAGCGTCGCTCCTCTGCCCTCCGTTGTTGCCTCCAACTTCCCAGAGCTGCTTTTGTCCTTTCTCCGCACCGCCGATTTAGCGCGGTTGGCTACATGCGGTGTCAGACTCCAACACACATTCATAGAGCAGCGTCTTTCACCAACCTGGTTGTTAGTTACACAAGACAAAGATCCCCCATATAGCCTTAACAGACTGTTGGGGCAAGTGCTGTTTGTGAGAACCGCCTTTGTCTCCACAGTGGCAATGTTTACACATCGCACCAGGTACTAATTTTAGGCAGAGTCGACCTACGGGAAGCCCAGGATCGGTTCAGATAATCGTCACCGGTGTTGGCTGGGAGCGGGAATCAAACTCGAGTTGCCGGGTTTGTAGCGCAGCCAAGTCGCTCGAGTTGGAACTTGAACCTCGGGTTCCTCAAGCTGTGGGCCGCGCGCGTACCGACTAATGTAGGGGCGGATGTCGTCTCCGGACACGGGCATCATGGGAATGGCGGCGGTGCTGGAGAGCCAGAAGGACTTGTCGTTGCGCGACGCGTAGCTGCACACGGCGTCCACCCGCAGTAGACGAAGGGCATCGTGCTGAAGCGCGGCAGGCACGATCCCGCCAGGCCTGGGGGGGGGGCAGATACGGTGGTGGGGGGGGGGGGCAGTGGCAGAGTGGGAATAGGCAGGCGGGGGGGGTGATGGTGTTCGCGACGGCGATGATGTGTCGGGGCCGATGACGATGACGACGATCGCGGCGATGGCGATGACGGCGACGACGGCGGTGAAGATGGCGATGATCTTAGCGACGGGGCGCCGCCCTCACCCAGGTCCTGCGAGGCGGCCTTCTCATTGCCCTCGATGTAGAGGAGGCTGAAGCCATCCCACAGGCGCGCCATGCCCTGGGGGCATGCAGGCACCTCGATCGATTGGCTGTGCTTGACGAGCAGGAATCCCCCGTCCTCGCGCACCAGCGCAGCATCGCTCACCAGGCCCGGCGCGCCCGCCGCCCCTGGGGAGCCCCGCTCGCCTGTGGTGCAACAACGACGGCACAATCGTGACACTAGAAGGGACTCGTCTATGTGCAGGGGGTCCCCGATACAATACGTCGTATCGATATACGTTGTTTTACACTCGGCTCTCGGGGGGGGGGGTGTAGAGGTACTGTACAACTCACACATGCGCCGCCATTTTCTCAGACCCATCGTGTTCTCTCGTGTGCGTAGCTACGAGTGCTCGTTGTAGATCGGCGTGGAATTTTTAATTGCAAAATATCGTTTCAAACCTTCAACAATGAGTAGCAGGCGTAGTGACAGTGCAGGTGGTGAGCGTAAGAAACAGCGCAGTGATATTAGGCTTGATGTTCAAATGGAAGTGATAAAGCGTAGCAGAAAAGGTGACCGTGCGGTTCATGTACTACTGTGCGTGGTTTCTGCTCGTCGTTATATTCGAAAATCTTCCACCTCGGCTCGCCTCCTCACAAAGGGGCAGCCGTTTGGTTGCCCCCCACCTCCCGAGTAGAGCCACTGGTTTTCTAATTTCCTGCCATAATCAATCTAGAATCGGGGGGGGGGGGT